TTAATGAGAGAGCGGGAATGTGTGTGTGTGTGTGTGTGTGTGTGTGTGTGTGTATGAGGGCGAGAGTGTTCTGGATTCTGAGTGGGCAATTGTAACAGATTCAGCAAAAATGCACTGCATAGATCTGCACAGTACAGAAAAACCAACCAAACAAAAAAACACGATTACTCGATTAAACATTCCCAAACAATAGCACAAGCAACACCTGAGAGTGTCAGTAAACACAGCCATTACTTTAGAAGTGTAAAAATGGGGAGTCTCAACCTGAGACAAATCTGACAGATTTAGGGCATCAATACATTGATCCGTGTCCGCTCACTCAGGCGCCACTTTCCTTCCTCTCTGCCTGAATAAATGTACTCACTGCACACATGAATACAGCCTGCCTCCTTATTTTTAAAGAGTGAAGAGTGTTTATCCAGAGAGGGAGACGGAGAGAGATTTTCTCCATAACAACCATGAATTTAATTTACAAGATTAAAATTTTATCAGTATTAACGGGTTTCTCAAACCCTTGTAGGCTACACTCTCAGAAAGAAAAAAAGTACAAAAGCTGTCACTGGGGCGGAATCCTTTCAAAAGCTATTAATATCATTTAATATGTACACTTTAGGGGTAAACTATGTAACGTTAAGCTACTAATGTGCACTCTTTAGGGGTAAACAAGGTACAAAAATATGCATTTCTAAAAGGTAGGCTACCATAGAATACCATACCACAGCTTTTGTACTTTTTATTTATTTGTTAATTTTTTTTTTTTTTTGAAAGAGAGATACCTTTTAGTTTACCAAATAAAATCAAACCATTCTGTTAATGTGGGTGAATCTCACGAAAGGCTGTAAAGAAAATGGCTCAAAATTATGTTATGACTCCTAATTAAGCACATTTCTTCCTAAATCTCATTACTGCAATGAATTGTTGCGAGTAGCTACTCTTATTCTGATATTCTAATCACTATTATGTGGAGAGAGAGAGAGAGAGAGAGAGAGAGAGAGAGCGGGGCTGTGGTCAGTCTGATCGTTGCTCCTCGCCATAGGGGATGTCTGGGAATAAAAGCATGAAACTGGACACAGAGATGCGCTCTCGGAGCTCCGCCCCTGAATAACATCACCATCATCATCATCATCATCATCAGAGTCGGAGAGGAATAACTGGAGGGCACGAGAGAGGACGCACGCGGACTGTCAACCTGCTGCACGCGTCGCGTTCATCCGTCACCTCTGAATGTAAGTCACATTTTTCATTCATTCGATCCGTGACTTTATCAATGTGTTTATTTGCTTTTATTAAACTGTTCGGAATTATTACATTGCACGTGATGCATCATGCGTGCTTGTATGAGTATAAACAGATAACGGCGCGTTAGATCAGAACTCACCTTCATATATCATCATTCCGTGATTTTATAGTCGGAGATTTGTGTCTTTTATATTTGGTCCCAGAGCTCAGAGGTCATGAGAATGACAGGTCTGTTGCATGTCAGACAGACGGTGATTATTCAGGTATGACAGCCATACCCCCCTTTAATAGAAGCATGATAAATGACAGCATGATTAGAAGTGACATTGCCATGCATGGAGAAATGCACTGATGTTCACAATGTGAAATTACAAATCACTGGGAGAGGGAGAGAGAGAGAGAGAGAGAGAAAAACAAGGACTAGCATGAGTAAAGGGTTTAGAGACATGCAAATATTCATTTAATTAACCAGCAAGCCAACATATCAGAAATTCCCAAAATAACAAATTAAACCAACTCATATTTTCCACTATATGCATCATTGCAATTGCATGAAACAACAATTAAATACAAAAATAACAAATACGTGAAGATAAAGACTAGGAGAATAACTAATATCTTAGCAAATGACCCAACACGTCTAGTTTCTGTACTGCAGATCCTTCTGCTACTACATTGTTGCTGGACTTCTTATCAGCCTTAAGCATAAATGCCTCAATACAATATATGGGGTAAACTCCTTTAATATACTAATATACTATAGTATGCATACATGTGAATAAACAACCTTTCAAAAAAAGATCAAACTACATTCATTCGTTCGTTCTGGTATTCTAATAGCATGATCATCAAGCAGGCAATTCTGTTGATCTAGTGAGGAAAAGATGACTTTTATAAGTGTTGTGACAGATCTTAAAGCAGAATGTGAAAGTTCCATTCTTCATTTTTTAAAGACAGTAACGAGTCTAAATGAAAAGAGATTTGTCAGATTTATCGGTAGCATCGGTGTGAATGATATTGAGCTCTTATGTGTGGTTATATAAGGTGCGTGCTGTGAAATGTGCTGCGTGGTGCGTGAGAGGGATGCAGACATGCTTCTGACATTGTGCCGTTTCACTGTGACCTTGAAAATGCAGACGCAGCCGAGAGCAAGAACAAGTCAGCAATCGCAGATGCTCACGCATTCACACGCACAGACCCTGCCTTCTCTCTCTCTCTGATTATTTTTCTCAGGCTAATATGAGGAAGCCTCTGGTGTGCTGAAGGACGTCTGGATTTACTGTACAAGTAGCGTTCTCAGCATGCGCTAAGCCCGACTGTAGCGTAACGAGAGAGCGTTGAAGCAGAGAGAACGGCCATGGCCTCTGACATCCAGCGCCATCTGATTGTCTGCGTCCGCCAGCGCTCCTGGAAGAAACTCAGGCCTGCGCGGGTGTTTGGCCTTCTCGTTAGTCTCATAGCAATAAGTGCAGTGGCCTTCTCATGGCGCTCTACTGCTCAGTGGGAGGGGCTACAGAGCCACGCCCCACACAGGACACTGCTCTCCACACACCTGGGTTACCACAGTAACCTCTCGGAGGACACACCCATAGCCATGCGCTCGTCCGCGGAGTCAAACGAGAGTCAGGGGGACTATCCGACTGACCTGTTCAGTTTGGAGGACCGTCGGCGCGGTGCTGTTGTGTTGCACATGTTTGGCATGATCTACATGTTCATCGCTCTCGCCATCGTCTGCGACGAGTTTTTTGTCCCCGCGCTCACGGTCATCACAGAGAAACTCGAGATCTCAGATGACGTGGCAGGCGCCACCTTCATGGCGGCCGGGGGCTCGGCTCCTGAGCTCTTCACCTCCGTCATCGGCGTATTCATTTCCCACAGTAACGTAGGCATCGGAACCATCGTCGGCTCTGCTGTGTTCAACATCTTGTTCGTCATCGGAATGTGTGCCGTCTTCTCCAAAGAGATCCTGAACCTGACGTGGTGGCCTCTGTTTAGGGACGTCTTCTTCTACATCGTCGGCCTCATCATGCTCATCGTTTTCTTCTTGGATAACTACATCACGCACTGGGAGAGTATCAGTCTGCTGCTGACCTACGCCACATATGTGCTCTTCATGAAGTTCAATGGGAATGTAGAGACTTTTGTCAAGGGCATCATGAACAGAAACCAGGTGGTGGAAGTGGAGGCCCAACCAAAGGTGAGTTCCTTCCTCTTACTATCCAACCGTAGTAGAGTCAGCGGACCCCCATTTGAGTTTGGGACTGGTTGAGAAGTAATTTGTGACCCTAGACCACAAAACCAGTCATGAGGGTCAAATTTTTAGAAATTGAGATTTCTTAATAAGTGAATAAATTAATAAATCAGCTTTCCATTGATGCATGGTTTGTTAGGATAGGACATTATTTGGCCGAGATACAACTATTTGAAAATCTGGAATCTGAGGGTGCAAAAAAAAAAAAAAAATAAAAACCAAAATATTGAGAAAATCGGTTTTTAAAGTTGTCCAAATGAAGTTCTTAGCAATGCATATTGCTAATCAAAAATGAAGTTTTGATATATTTACAGTAGGAAATTTACAAAATATCTTCATGGAACATGATCTTTACTTAATATCCTGATGATTTTTGGCAAAAAAAGAAAAATCGATAATTTTGACGCATGCATGTAAATGTATTGTTGTCTATTGCTACAAATATACTCGTGCTACTTATGACTGGTTTTGTGCTCCAGGGTCACACTTGGTCTTTGGTCTGATTGTAAAGAGTATTACTGCAGTATTGGGACCAGTGTTGGGGAAAGTTACTTTTAAAACTAATGCATTACAATATTGTGTTACTCCCTATAAAATTTAAATAATAATAACATAAAATTTTTATGGAAAGTAATGCATTATGTTATTTTTGAGTTACTTTTTAAATCTGGGCAGGGCTTGCTTGTTTGTTTATAATATATAAATAAAGTTCTTCTTTTGCAAATGTAAAAGCCTTTCACACCAAACGTGAAATGAATGCGCCTCAGGCTGAAGGAAATGTAAATTCACGTCTGTACAGTAGAGGGCACGGATCAAACAAATCGCATGAAGAATATGACGCAGAAGAAGAAAGTTCAACACTATTCAGCAATAACAAAAATAAAACACAAATGTGTCATTTTTGCTTAGTATGCTTGAAATGGATCATCGAAGGTCAGTAGCAAAGACACTGGTTAATAAAATGGGATTAAATACATAAATGATATTTGTCTTATTTAACATATTCAATTATTGTAGGTTTGTATAATATTCTGAGTTTGCATTTGACTGTTTTTATTCATTTTGATAAATACTGAATCTGTTTTTGTGCAGGTGAGATACATGTTCATATTTAGTCTAGAACTACAGTAACATCACGTTAACACAGTGCACATAGCGCCTCTGCACTTACTCCTGATTTCTCTCAACATGGTCAAGACATGGAAAACAAAGTAACTGGCGTTAATAATTTGAAAGATTAACTCAGATATTTCCTGATATAAGGTGGGGTAAGCGATTTTTCAAAAACGCTTTAGAAAACTGATTCGGGCCGAATAGCAAAACAAACTTGTAGCCAATCAGCAGTAAGGGGTTTGTTTTGGTGATTTCAAATGTCAACATTGGCTACCAGAAATCGCTTACCCCACCTTTAAAAAGTAATGCATTACTTTACTACTCAGTGGTTCAACCGTACGAAGCTATGAGAATACTTTTTGTGCGCAAAGAAAACAATATTACACAATTGCTGAATAAATTATGTTATCATTGTTTTCTTTGTGCACAAAAAGTATTCTCATAGCTTCGTACGGTTGAACCACTGATGTCACATGGACTATTTTACCGATGTCCTTACTAAGTTTCTGTGCCTTGATCGTGGTAACATCGTTGCTGTCTATGGAGGGTCAGAGAGCTCTCGGATTTCATCAAAAATATCTTAATTTGTGTTCCGAAGATGAACGAAGGTCTTACGGGTTTGGAACGACATGAGGGTGAGTAAGTAATGACAGAATTTTTATTTTTGTGTGAACTAACCCTTTAAAGACCAGAAATGGATGGGTCAGATAAAGGAGACAGTGTTCAGAATGTGTACTGTTGGGTGCCTTCAGGGACAGCGTTGGGAAACACAGCTTTAGACCTGCCTTCCTGAAGATTTCACTTCCAGTCCTGCTTCAACACACCTGTTTGCAATTATCAAGTGTTCCTGAAAAACGTAATAAGCTGGTTCAGGTGCATTTGATTAGGGTTGTAACTTTGCAGGAAGATGAATCTCCAGGAGAACTCCTTCCTATACTAATCTCATACCAAGGACCCGTCCCAAATGGTGCACTTGATGTGGTCCTCACTCATGCATGTCCATGAAGTCTAAGGCAACATAAGTACACATCAAGTGCATTATTTGGGAGAGGCCAATAGTATAAGATTAGTACATAGTATAGTATTCTTTGGTATGTAGCATTTGTTAACAAAACATGTCTGTCACAAAGCTCTCCACCAGAAATAGGGCTATAATATTCTGTCCTGCATTTGTTTGTTGTTGCTACTATATGACTCCCCCTCATGCTATTAAGTACAGACTTAAACACTGTTGTTATAGAAAGCAAGTAATCAAGTCTTTATTCAAACCACAAGATAGTACAAACGGTGATAAACAGAAGACAAACAGAAGAGGACAGGGACTGACGGGTTATTTTGCTGTACAGTGGGGTTTGGAGGAGGACAGGTCAGGATTGAATGGAGAGATCCTCTGTATGAGTTCATGAGGATGATGAAGAGTCATGCATATTCTAAACACGCAATACTGGACCTGAAGCAGCCCTCAAATGTTGCCAGGCAACAGGTAGATGTTGTCTTTATGGGATGCACGTAGACTCATATGCACATGTTCATGCATGACTGTGAATATAGTTTTCCTGTAGTTCTCTTTGTTTTGGTGTTCATGAAGGCATAAGACCTTCATTTGTGATGCAGCAGTCATGGATGCAGCTGAAATAATCCTGCAGGCTTTATATACCATAATCCATTTCTCTCTGCTACTGCAACCAGGCCTCCTATACTGGTGTGCTGGTGTGCATTAGAGCCTTTAATTACCATTCTATATTAATGCACTGCTTACTGACACACACACACACACACACACACACATCCAGGGGCAAAGAAACTTGTCAACGCTGTCCCGCGACTTTTATTAATAACATAGTTTAAATACTGAATCGCTATGTTATATTTTCCAGCAACGAGAGGATAAAATTACTGTTTTTGAAGTAAACTCACTCATTGTAAACCAAAAGAGAATCGAGACAGCACTACCCCTTCATGTGAACACGCGAAACGGATGGGTAGGGGTAAGGGGTAGAAATGGGATTGGGCTTATGTGTCTGTTCTTGGATTGGTTCCCCCTTTAAACAACTTGAATGCAGCATCATACTGTGAAAGTTTAGCTATAAGTGTCACATTCACAATCACCAACGTCAAATTTAGAAGATAGGGAATTCTTTTATCCCTCAGCCAGTTTCTTTGAGATTTTGGCCCAAAGAATTCCTACACTGCCATTGTTGTAAGCGAGCATGGATTAAGGAGTCTTGGCCAGGAGGAGTCTCACGGTGCTAGGTCTCAAAGGAGACCGGATTGCAGCAGTAGGGGATTGTTGGATGGTGGAGTCATGTTCATTGTGTCATTCTGTTCACAAGGGATTAAACAATGTCAAGTGTCGGCGAAGCCCTGCTGGGTTAAGATGAACAAATTGTGTCCTGTTGAAAGCAAGAAAACATCTTTGGAAATATCAAAGGCTCCTCGGCCCTCTGCTCGGATCTGCTGTTGTGTTTCAGATATGGTGACTTAAGTGGGCAGGACTCATACAGGGCTAGAAAGGTTCATCTGGAGGTAGGGGATCTCTGTATGTTGATGTCAAAAACATAATATTAGAGATGTAATAAGTGCAGTAGAACAGATGCATCTCACTGCGCCATTAGTTTAGGCTGATGTGTCAAGGATGGCCACCGCTGTCTTTCTTCAACGCTAATTGCTTTGACACCAGACAGGTCTCTATGGTGATATGAATTGAGGTGAAGCGTTTGTGAAAAACAGCTTAACAAAAGGGAAGGACAAACACACTGGTGCTGCAGGAAGACGCTCGTACCGTGTTTTAATGGTGGTGTAACCTGACACGAGCCAGGTGATTGTAGTCCCAGAAACGCCACCTCTCTTGATGGTCTTTGACTCCAGCTTGGTGACTTTTGAACTCTGTAAATTTTGAAAATTAATATACTTGTGCTGTAGCTCAATTAAGTATTTATATAGTATTTCTAAGCATTGTAAGGCTTTAGTTGAGCTGCAGGAACAAAAACTGATTGTAACTTATTTAAAATGAAGATTGGAAGCCATTGTTTAGTGATAGACTGGAAGTTATCTTGCATCAAATTGTCAGGCATGATGTTTTTTTTTGTTAAAAACTAAATTTAAAAATGTTGCTATTGTACCAATTTCTGTAATCTTAGCAGACAGGAAGGATGGTTCCTCAAATATTTCATTGATAAATGCATTGCTAATACTTACTGATTTTGTTTTTGTGCTGGAGTGCTGTATGCTCTTGTTCACTTTCACTCACAGCAATCTGTTTAGGTTAAGCGTTGTTTTACTTTGCATTATTGCTCTGGATTTTATGAGTAATCGCTCAAAATGTAAACTGCATTAATGTTGATATTTCTTTGTAACATGGGTAATGTATAGCCTGATTTACAAAGCTAGCATGCAAGGGAGACTGAGTTGTAACATTGTCAGTTTAAGCATCAACTATATTAATATTTTAGACATAGGATGAGGACATGAAAGTAGAAACGACTCACCTTCTCTCAGTCTTTTAATTACTGTCATTTGCAGATCTAACCCTGTAAATGTTTCACAAATGTGGATGATGAACTGAAAAAATATCTAAGCACCTTTAAATCAAGATTAAATTTACTTCAGAAAAATGTGTAAGATAGTAAGAAATGTTGGTTAATGGGCTAAAAATAATTTTATGCTTCTTTGCAGAACATATATTTTTAATTGTAATTAATACGATATAGCAGATCTCAACTGCTTGATTGCATCATGGAAATATGTAACTATATGACCCTGGAGCACAAAACCAGTCATAAGGGTACATTTTTTGAAACTGAGATTTATGCATCATATGAAAGAAGAATAAA